CACGTGGATCATCAAACGTTACAATTTAGACAAATAGGTCATACAAGAGAGAAGATAGCTGTCTACTGTATTCTAGCGCTATGTAGCCTGGAAGTTTACTTACATTTCAGAGGTACTTTCTGTGTCCATTGGCCATTTTCACAGTTTTCACCGTGAGAACCCCAATCTCACATAACCTGCATGTTCATTACACCTGAAATGAAGATGACAGTACATCTATGGCACGGAGTCCTTGAGAAACTTATAGCAAGCTCAGCTAGCCATGAAATTTCTCATCTCTATGGAACCCAAAGGTTTATTACTGTTTTTACAAGAGCCCGCCACTGGTCCCTGTCTCTGAGTCAGATTATACCTCCAATACTATTTATCTAGGATCTTTCTAAATGTTTTCCTCCCCTCTGCCTACATCTTCTGAGTTGTTTCTTCCCTTTAGGGTTTCCAGAAGAAATTATGCACTCATTTCTCATGTCCCACGTGAGCGCTGCATGCCCAATTCATCACATCCTCCTTGATTTGATCATCCTAATACTATTTGGTGAAGAGCACAATTTATGGAAATTATCATAATACAATTTTTCCAGCCTCCCGACACTCCATCCCTCTTGGGTCCGAATATTCTCCTCAGTACCCTGTCTTAACCCATGTTCTTCCATTACAAAGTTTCATATTTGTGCAAAACAGGTAAAATTATAGTTTCGTTTATTGCAATATTTAAAGAGAAGTTGAAACACAATGGTGATAAAAGTAAATCCTTGTTTCATACCATTCTGAATAAAAAATTCATTAGATAAGTGTTTACATGTATGAATTTTACTATAGGTTTTTTTATATTTCAATTAGCCTTTCTAGTTTCATGGGTATACTGATTTCAATAAAAATGTTGTATGTATATACTTCCTTTTAACCCAATGCGTTCTTGAACTGAGCATGTAACTGCTGTATTCACATTTTTTTCCCATTATCTGACGAATGCAAAATATTCTGTTAGTAACTGACTGATTACGTCGACGTCCACGCTGATGATGTCCTATAATTTCGTCTGCGTATGGAGTTTACGTTGACAAAAGAATGACGAATACAATTCTGTAGTCAGGTTGGTAGCCCGTCTACACAACAATTTTTATTATAGTTTCAATATTTATTACATAACGGATCATCTTCAGGTGGTTCTCTTTAAGTGTTCGAAAGTAATAGATATGACCGCTAATTTGTATACACATTTTTTGATGTTGACTTCATCGTATAATGGACTGTGCCTTAAGCAGCTTACCTATTTTAGTAGACTGGGCTATGCACTGTACGTGTAGTTACCTGTTAAAAGCTTGACTGTGAACTGAAGTGGTTGGTATGTTTAGGGGTAGAAGACGAACGGGGCGGGGGGTGGAGTAGGCCGATAACGGTACGGGATGGAGAGAACATTCTCTAGGTGTTATTGGCGTTCATCAGGATTTCAAAAACTGGGTTGTTGTTATCTGGGTTTGTTTCGTGAAAATGAACGCATTTTTTAACGCTGTTGTATATGTGGAATGTTTCTTCTAGTGTGTTCGTGTAACTACCCTTTTTGGCCTCTTAAAGAATTTTCTTTGTATCTTCCAAGGTGCCGTACGAGTGTTCATTTTGTAGAATATGTTGGGAAAATCCTGTGCTTGTTTTTTTTTTAGCTTTTATATCCTTGACGTATTCTTTAAACTTAATTTGAAATTTCTACCTGTTTGTCCTATATAATTTGTGGCAGTCTTGGCAAGTTAATATATATGCCTTAATAATAACAGCCACAACAGGCATTTCGTTGTTCTCAAAACGTTATTGCTATCCACATATTAGTTTGCCCGGCCTTTAACAAAACTATCAAAATTTCGCTGAATCCAATTACAGCATCCATTTCTCTGAATTACGATATTACTATTTACACACTGCTTACCCAAGCGGCCAAATTTTAGAAGTATTTCTTTGTATTTATAGCTTTGCAGGATGACAAACTATTTGTAAGTCTGAATTGCATTGGCAAGTGAAACTGAAATGGCGAATGTAGGAATACTTTCCACTGAAACATGTACGTATTAAAAGAAGCTAGATCTTAAAGCTTCTTTTATGACGATATTTATATCTGGGGATTTCGAAAATTGCATAATCTAGAATGAATATGATACACATTAGAGGAACAGACTGCCCAAATACTTAATTCGCTTCAAAGATTCTTAGACTATTCATGTTACGTTCGTCATACTAACCTCCATACTCAGGACGCGTACGATCGGCCTTCTTCCCGAGCCCCAGCCGCAGAGCGCTCGGCAGTAACCGAATGCAGCTCAGTCGCCGTCATGGAGACGTGGGTGAAGTTGCTGCTGTTTGTGTCTGTTTCTCCGCTAGCACGCGCCGCCCTCTCAGGCCTCTACGTAGATAACGGCGTGGACCGGACGGAAATGGCAAGGGCCCTGACCAGCAGCGAGCGACGCGAGGTGGAGCATGAGATCCTGAGCTTGCTGGGGCTCCCCAATCGCCCACCGCGCGCCCCGCCTGGCAGTGCTGCACCCCAATTCCTGCTAGACGTGTACAAATCGCTACTGGACGCACCCCGAGACGACTTGAACCTCAGCGGTCGCGATTTAAGTGCCATAAATGAGAGTGACGTCATCATGAGCTTCGCAAGCCGTAGTGAGTCCATCTTTGCGCCCCCGCCGCCAGCCCTGTAATCATAACTTCCTGTTCCAGACCACGGCCACAGCATTATTTTATTCTACGCGAGTAAATTCAAGTTCCCGCGTATTGTAAATCACAGTAACATTCTTAAATTGCGAACGCTCAGTCCATTCACAGCTACTCAAGTTGTAAAGAAATTGCCTGCGTTTGTGCAGTGATTTATCATCGTGTCAGTTATAATTCTATTTAATTCGAATTCAACGGATTCATTCGCACCCGATTTCTCCAAGATCAATTTGTGTAATTTTCCCCATTCCTTGGTTACTTTTCTGTACAGTCTATACAACTTCTTCAGCACTTATAAATTGTTAAGCATATGAAATTGAAAAATGGCGGGATTTTCTGCGGATCCAGATTTAATTCACTGTCTGATATACGACAAGCGTTGAGCCGTTATTGACACATTTTATAACGTATGTCCGCAGGCGAGGCCCACCAAAGTGGATTGCGGCACGAAAGGGGGCGACGTCTCTGGTTCGATGTGAGCGAGGTGCCAATCGGGGAGCGCATCGTGAGCGCGGAGCTGAGGTTATTCCAGTCGGAAAGCACCACCCCGCAGCGGGCAACCGTCAGCGTATACCAGCTAGTGGCAGATGGCACCCGGTGAGAAGACCGGATCGCTTGTAGGATGCTGCCTGCGCAGATCGTGTGTAGGGTGCTTGCATGACTGAATCGTGGGCAGGCAGCTATTCTGCCGCTAATTGCGCGTCTTCTTTCAGCGAGAAGGCCTTGATGCTTGTGGACAGTGCTGCTGCTGGTCCTACTGGAGGCTGGCTGGTCCTCAATGTGACAGGACCCCTCAACTCATGGGTAGCCTTCCCGGATTCAAACCTGGGACTGTACCTCTCAGTGCACCTGCCAGATAAGCCTGGTGAGTGGAAACACGTTTATGTTCCATACTGCAATGTGCCCGAGGCAACGCATTCCTAGAGTAAAAGTAAACAGTCAAGCCACAAGGACGAGCATCACGTGACCAGGAGGACCGGTCTTGAGGTCGCATCAGCCTTTAAGTTATACACATTTTTGGTAGGAATGGTGTAAGCACACATTTGGAAGTTTTGCGTTTTATTACGTATGGCCAAAGTCGAACATGAAAATGGTTCCTGTCGTTTTAAAGTGTATTTCACTCCGATTAGCGTGTGTCTGTACCCTTGATTCTCAGTCCCTAATAACACGAGAATTTTCATGGAACTTACAGCGTGCGTTTGAAGTCACGCAGTTACACGTTCGAAGTTGGTGGCCGGTCTTTTTTTCCAGCGGATTTACTGGCAACCTTTTGTAGAGAATTTGTTCAAATGAAATTGTCTGGCTACTTCGACTAAACTCGAATTTCGTCACAATAAAATGGAACAGTCGTCAGTCCCGTGTCTTGCCGAGAACTATCAACACTCCTGTGTAAATTCCAAAATTTATTGTAATAAAAAGGAAGCTTCCGAGTTGAATCTCATAGCAGAGCCTGGCTGTCCCGAAAAGTTTTCTCGGCATTACTCAGATCCTACCTGAAAATGGGTCACGACCGCTTCTTTCCATATAATTTCCAATTCATTGTTTGTTGTTATAATTTAACATTATAGTCTGATATACCGACTGCATTATTAAACAAACCATTTTTAAAACTACAGGGGCCACAATAACATTTTAGATGTAATGACATCTTATATTAAGCTGGACTTTTGAATGAATACCCACCTGGTCATCTGTTGCATTATGGCTGCGTTTGTCTGTTTCCTGAAGTACAGCGTACATGAAATACATGGTAGTTAACCTTTATCATCTGTGTGTAGCATTGATAAGTGCCTTCCAGCTGTATGAAGTAGCCATTTTGTGGCAGTTACGAATCTTTAGTTTTGTTCACTGCTCTGTACATACATGACATGTGCGTGTATCAGCAGCACGAGACTTCTGTGTTGAACATGGTAGAACTTATTAGCCTGCCACTGTTGAAGACTGTAGTTGGTACATGCGCCACATCAATATTAATGGACTGCATGGTGCTACAACCCAGAAGACAGCAATTTCCTTTTTCTTCCTGTCTGCCATCTAAAAATGTATAGAATAAAATGTAGAGCACTATAATTTTATCCTTTGTTTTGTATGGATTTAAAACCTGGTCTTTTTTTTGAGAATGAACACAGATTAAGGGTTTTTGAGAACTGTGTGTTCTAGAGAGTATTTTGAACCCAAGATGGATGAAGTGATTGGAGGGCATACAGCATGCATGGGGCAACTGAGAAATGTATACAAAATTTTGGTTGGAAAGTCTTACGGGAAGACGCAGGTGTAGGTGGGGGTATAATATTAAAATGGATCTTATAATCTGTTTTGGGGGATATGGACTTGATTCATGTGGCTCAGGATAAGGACTGGTGGTGGGATCTTGTAAACATGTCAATGAACCTTTTGGTTCTAAGAAATGTGGGTAATTTCATGGCTAGCTGAGTGAACTATTAATTTGTCAAGATTATTTTATTTCAGGAACTTTTTATTACAGTATTTGAGCTTGATTTCATCACAATTTCCTCAGTAAGCTTTTCCTATGCTCCTGTCACATGTCTCACTGCCCAATGTTCTTCCCTCAGGAACAGAGACCAGATTTTACACACATATAAAACAACTTAATACAACTTTCTTTGAGTGACTGGTAGTTATTTAGCTGATGAAGATACTCACTTTTTTATACACCTGAAAGTTTTATCACTGTCATCATAGAAGCCCACCACTGCACGCTGTCAGTTCAATCCAGTTATCATCCCAGTATTCCTCCACAGCTTCAAAATATTAATTAGCAGTTGTTTTACTATGGTGTTATCTTCTTCTTTTTTCTCATCTCCCTTTTGCCTTTATAGCGTCGGGGTTGATTGCTCGGTCCACCTCCTCCATTCCTTCCTATCCCTTGCTAAGAATTTCATCTGCGTTAAACTTTTCCCCTTTGCCTGTCCTATTTCTCTAATAGTATCCAAGTAGCTCTTTCTAGGTCTTCCTCTTGTTCTGGTACCCTCAACTCTAGCTTCCAAAAACTGTTTCGCCTTTGTTTCATCTGCCATTCGAAGAACATGTCCAAACCATTTCAGTTGTTTTTCTTCCAATTTTGTTTTAAGTGATTTAATTCCCACCTCGTCTCTAATTTCGGTGTTCCTTATTCTACCCCTGCGCGTTTTCCCTATTGATTTTCTGAGACATTTCATTTCCACCACTGTAACTTTAGATGAATATTTATTTAAGTTTGGCCAGTTCTCGCTGCTGTGGTGTTATCAAGGAAACATAATTAATACAGTCTGTTGCATAGCTCATGAGATCCACCCAGAAGACATCGGGATTGTGATCTCGAAGGGATCAGATGCCAGCAGACAGCCATTCATGGTTGCATTCTTCCAGTCATCTGGACATCGCACCACACACTCCCGCACGACACGAGAGACTCAGCGGCGTACCAAGAAGAAGCCTGATACGACACCTGCAGAAAGCAGTTACTCGCCACACCCATTCACAGGTAGGAGTGGTGCGATATTCACTCGGCTAAAGAACATGCAACACTGAATTGGAATCACAATGATGGCATGTTTCAGATTCATCAGCACACTGGTCTTCCCGAAGTTGCCAAATACAGACACTCTATGTCAGCTTCAGAGACCTGGAATGGCACGTGAGTAGCGCATTTTCCACCAAATAGGCGGGGATCTTCTTGCAATTGAATATCTGTAGCTATTGTCGTTCATTGCAGGACTGGATCATCGCACCGAATGGGTATGACGCCTTTTACTGCAGTGGGGAATGTAACTTTCCATTGAATGCTCACATGAACGCCACAAATCATGCGATCGTTCAGACGCTGGTGCATCTGATGAATCCTTCGCAGGTGCCAAAGCCTTGCTGTGCTCCAACGAAGCTATCGCCAATATCTGTGCTATATTTTCTGGATGAGTCAAATGTAATACTCAAGAAGTACAAGAACATGGTGGTTAAGAGCTGTGGGTGTCACTGAACATGGGATACATGAGGACATGTAGCACACATTCTGTATCTTTTTTTATATGATGAACAAAACTAAATGATTCTATTTATGAAACTGGGCCTTACAAAATGATAACAGCATCAGTCAGGTGTGAAGAGACTGTTCAAGTGAATGCCACGATTGCCGCTGGTTCAAGGAAGCGCAGAAAACCGGAATACTTAAGTAATGGAAACATTACACATATAATGGCCAAGATGTGACGTATTGTCTTACTCTTACCCGGTGCCCTACGTGAGCGATTAAATGCGAGTTGCGTGGGTGAAGCGGAAATATCAAACTGGCTGTTTGTGTGGCGCTGTCCTAGGTTCCAGCGAAGCGGTCAGGAGAGGGAAGCGGCCAAAGTCCGAGATCATATATTTTGATATTTTCGCGCGAGTCGCTGCACTGACCAGTAAGGTGCATGTGCAAGAAAGCTCTGACCGTGCAGTACACGGAAGATGCATGCTCAGGAAGGCCGTGTGCTTCTATTGCGGTCTCTCATGTAGGACACAACAAGTGATTCCCCGCTTCATATGACACCCCATGCTTCTTATGCAGCTTGCATAGTTCGTTTGTTATCGCTTACGTAGGACACTGCCTAACAATTCCAACAGATATACTCATAAATTAAAATACAGTCACATTCAACACTAAGATACATACGAGAGGTCAAGATTTACTTGGGTACTGCAGCAAGGACAAGATATGTTGCCGAAATTTTTTCACTAAACAGGCCAACACATAAATGTTTATCGTTAACATTTCCACGGTGCATTATCAGATTAAGATATACTTATTTTCCATCAACACTTCAACACATGTAGTTCTTTTCCAGGTGCATTTTGGTACAATGTGCCTTCATCAGGGCACGTTTTATCACTGCCAGTATAATTGCAATATTATGTTTTTTTCTAAGAAATAGCACTGAAAAATACAGAATATCTAATAGCTGAAAATACTAGAACAAATGTGACAGGCGTCAATTAGGAGAAGAAAGCGAACTTCTAGAAAAAGGTACATCAGTATGACACAGGCATAACAAAACAGACGTGCTTACCGTGAGTGACCGACTTACTGTAAGGTGCTAAAATGTTACAACAAAATAAGACTGAGACTCATAATTATCTCTTAATACAATTAATAACTTACATATTTTATTTTAAAGCTTATAGCAAAACAGAAAATTCTATGGGCTTTGACTAATGACAGTTTTTGTAACAGAACATCTCAAACAAGAGATACCATCATATACGCAAGTAATGATAACCACCAACACAGTATAGATATAACCGTATATGGAATATAATCTTAACCAATATTGTAAAATCCATATAAAGATACCTTTCCTGTATGTAACTTTAAACAATAATAGACATACTAAAAGTAAGCATATTTCAATATTTTTAATTTATATCATTTTAATGTTCATCTGTATTACTGATATGATTTAAAACATGAAGCCCAATATTTGATTGCACTCAAAATATGGAACTTTTCTTGATATAGTGTGATGCAGCGCACATATGACTGCATGTTGCTCTAAAATTCAACTCACATTGTTAGCCTTAATTTGTAGTGCACCTTGCTGGATGGACTTAATTCCAGGCATTTAAATAAAATTATGCATCTTTATGCAACATTGTACATATCATTTAAACCACTGCCTCTACAGTTATGATGTAAATAGCATACTCATGGAAACAAAACAGAGATTAGGCCAGAGAATTTGTTTCTTCTTAAAAAAAAATTCATTCAACAGATCACGATTTTAAATTACTTTTTTATACTTTATATGTGACTAGCAAAGAGTTGCTACATTTGTACACCACTGAAGACATCTATCAGGCTTTGATGTATAAGTTCAGTTTTGTAAGGTAATCCTCAGAACATGGATATACACACACAATGCTTCCCGCCCTTACATAGTCTGCTTATATTTAATGCATCACATAGCACTCTGCCATTTGTTTATATCACACACCACTTAAGGGTTAAATTATTGATGGGAAATAAATACATCCTAATCTACATTAAACCCATTCGTAAAAATATTACAGTAACTACAGTAATATATTGTTTGAAAATATAAGAATTTGGTCTTCTTATCGCCAGGTTTCCCACTAAAAAACACCTGACCCTAACACGATGTGTTTTTGCAGCTTATTAAAAGAAAACAGAAATAATTAATACACAAATGTAAATGTATTATTTCCAATAACTGCGGCTGTCTTTCTGCTTTCCTAACCATGAAACAGTAACAGCGTTTATACTGTATATACAATCATGACAGAAGGCCACATCCTGCAAGAGTTTGAAAACAGAATACTGACATGGATAAGTTTGAAATTTCATATCTCCTGGTAAGCCAGAGAATTATATAGAGCCAGACATTTAGTTTGGATGGATGAAATCAGAAATTTAAAAAGGAAACCTCTTATAATGCTGAGCTGAAAATGTAAGGGTAATATATTGCAGATTCACAATGAAAGCACTGCTTGAAGTTTGCCTGTGGGGAGGGAAGAAGAAGAAGAAGAAGACAAATCAGCACAATCTAATAAACTAGAAATAAAATTATTTAAAATAAAACATTTATATAATTTAAATTTGTGAAAATACATAAATTGTATTAATATGTATGACAACCATATCTGTACAAATTTAAAGACTACTTTGGCCCTCTGAAAGCAAAGAATCATGGCTATGCTGTGAAACTCGATGTCATGATGTGGTTGTCCACTGACATGAACACATGGCCTGCATCACTGTCAAAAAATGTTAAAAGATATTCTTTGTTCAGAAGAACGTCTGAACTAAATATTGATTATTTGAAGCAGCGTTAACTGAATGTATTTTTTTATTGAATGCAAGGTTATGTACTGGATGACAGTATAAAGAGTGTTATACATGATCACTCATTAGCCGATTTATAGATGCTGGCCTAGGGGGTCTGTGGAAAACCTCTATCATGATAGACAGCTGGTCTAAGTGAACTCTGTATTTATGCATCCATTTTACATGTTACTCTCAACCTTTTGTGATAATCAAACTAATTAATATGCAGGGAGTTGAATCAGGAATAAAATATTAAAAAACTGAATTTTTTGTTATTATATAAGTGACATACTTTAGTTCTGGCTGACAGATCAGATTCAATGTAGTCAGTCATTAAAAAATGTATGCCTATCAAATTTCCAAAGAATTTCCTTTCTTTGAATCTGATTAAGTGCCAGGCCAAATGAGGACCGAGGATGTGATAATGTGCTCACTGGTCAGGCCTACTGCATGCCACATGGGCATTAATAGACAGCACGCAGCATTGGTGGAATGATCATTAGCTGAGGAAAATTCAGAGTACAGTTATTTCTCCATTTATACAGTAGATGCATTCCTGAAAAATACACGGAGAAGAAAATTTTTCATAAGAGGGCTGAACCTACAGATGACAAATAATGAAAGACATTTATTCATGTTTACATAGGTGACGTTTTTAGAGTCATTACCTCCATTAATACCATATCAGATTCTGCTGTATTTCCTTTTTAACTGCATTTCAACTAAAATGACATAAATGAAGAGTGCATATATGGAGAAATGACTGTACTTGAAGAAAAATATGCCTCAGTTCCACTTAGTCTATCGTTAACTCTGGCACAAATTTCCCCTGAACTTAACCCAGGACTGGAGTGTCTAACCATTGTACCTAAAAAGACAAAACCTGCTTTATGTGTTATTATCTGCTTGATGAATGGCTACACATACACTACACACTTAGCTGGCAGTGGCAAACGTTTGGTGCTGCACTAGTTTCCTGAATGTGCCAGTCTCCGTGGACAGCAGGTCGCTGTAAGTTCCCTTCTCTACCAGACGGCCCTGTTCCAATACAGCAATTTGCGCTGAAATCACATCACAATTCCCATACTGTACTGTAAATTTCTAATCTCATGTTCTCTTTCTCACTGTGACGTGGTTTAATGTTTCATAACTCTTTGAGCCTAGTGAATGTACCCTTACTGATTATTCTATTTTGCAAACAGACAAGAGTACAATCTCATCATTAAGAGAAAAAACTAAACTGATATCAGAACAAACTGCTCACTGTTCATGAGCACAGTACTTGTAATATTAGTGGTTATCTCTATAGGTCTCAAACTTCTAGCGCTATAATGTTAACAAACTCCAAGTGATTGCTGTTTAACAGTACTGAATGTGGCTCGATAAGATTTCTTCCTCTTGCACAACACGTGTATGTTGTCTTCATTACGTTATCTTGAACAGTTGTATCACCACTGCTTTTCATATTTCATTTGGAACACAGCATTAGAAATGTCCAAGAAAATCAGTAGGGAATGGAAATGAAAGGGACACTTCAGTTTCTGATCTGTGCCAATGATGTTAATTTAATGGTTTAACGTAACCTACACGATGGGAGACTTCCCCTCAACAGATGAAAGTGGAATATGTGGTGGAGCTCTAAGGATAGCTTGGCAAGACACCAAAGAAAGATTCAATGACATTTTTATGCACTTGTTTTGTAAATTTATATCTTCGCTGCATGTTTTTAATTGACAATAAGATTATTCTGGCATAAATAAATGCGTGAATTTTAGCTAAAAATACTGATAAAAGTAAAGCTATCCCACTACATGCCATGCAGGTGCTTGGGCGAAAAGCTCCTACTCATTCTTAACCTCAGCATTAAATGGGGGTGAGTAGTCAGCTTTATGCCCCAGCCCCACTTTACCCCCATTAAAGGACCCTGGTACCTATTGGATATGAGGATGGGTAGGCCCCACAGCTGGTCTGGATGCAGAGGCTAAAGGAAAAATCCTCACCTTTTCAAAACACAAATCATTTAAATTATTACTTTTTCTCATAAAATTTTCTGCTCAATAATTATTTATAGTATGCTGAAAATATAATTTTAAATCTCAAGTAGAGGTTTAAATGCACAGTTCTTAGAGGGTTATAATGCTAGTCTGTAATACTATCAGCCCTGTCTTTCCTACGTATTTCAAACTTAAGATTTTATGTTCTACATTACGAGGAGCAAAGGATTAAGAAAAATGGGCCCTGACCTGCATTGCGGATGGTGGATAGCCGGTGAGCGATGGTAAGCACGGTGCGCCCTCTCATGATTCGCTCCATAGCCTCTTGCACCAGATGCTCACTCTCCGCATCCAGTGCACTGCCACACACAAAGCATACTGTAACATGTCTGCACAGGTGATAACTCTGACTCTGATATGATTGTTCAACACAACTCACCTTGTCGCCTCATCCAGCAGCAAGATTCTGGGGTTCTGAAACACGACACAGGAAGTCAGAGCCTAGTCAAAGTTATGGAAAGGAAAGCATAAGCCACCGAGATACTTCAATATTTAAAAAAGGTAACTGTTTTAATATCTGCAAATTGCTTATACTCTGAGCAGAACTGAAGGACATACAGCAGAAAGTTATATGTAGGCTTTATGATGCAATGGTTCTCTCATTCCCAAAAACCTAAATGTGTGCAACTTCAAGTGCTGAGGAAACTAAGCACAAAAATCATATATATACACATGGATTTTGCAAGGATTGCTCAACTTTGAGCTGGGTAACTGGGATCTGATTACCAGTTGGAGAAGATATTTTTCTGTCCACAACCCAGCTTCCTACTCAACAGACATAATTCCACTGATGATAAAGTTGTCAGGGTCTAAATTGACCACTCACCAAGGTTAAGAATGTATGGATATCTAACTCCATACTTTCTCTCTGGCTTTATGGTACAGTGATAACTTAATCCAAGGCCTTTGCAGGTCTTGCAAATCAAAATCCAACTGTCATTTAGAAATTGAATGTTGAGTGCCATGTCAGTGGTATTCAACCTGGGGTACGCAAAGACATCTTAAGGGGTACATGAAATTTAAAAATATACATATATTATTTTATGATAAACACTGAATAATGAGCAATGTAATTTATTTAATTTATTTTAGATGTAGATTATATACCATGTATAACTTGAATTATACACCAACAACTTTGGAGGTACAAAGTTGAAGAGAAATTATATCTGGGGGTACGCGAACAAAAAAAGGTTGAATACCACTGCCATAAGTTATGCAATGTTGAATATTACTTTCAACAAAACCAGGCCCAAAATGGTGATGTCACTTCCAGTTCCAGACCTTCACACTGTGCACATACTGAATCTGACAAGGGTCCTGACAGTGGTCACACTATGCTTCTGTACCCCCAGATAATGTGATTTACCTTTCTTTCTATTGAAAGAAATCATTAGATAAAAGCCTTCAATGAATTTTGGACCCGAGTACTAATTTTCCTTATGTTGTGTAAGTGGGAAGTGTACATATTTCTTATTTAATGCAGGTGTATGAATATTAGCAAACTGAGCAGCCTGAAGTTGCTAAAAACTTTGTATAGTTAAAACAGAATATTTGAGATACCTAATTAAATATGTAGAGACAATAAAAAGAACTATATCAATCAACATGTGAAGAAGATGAAAGCAAAAAGAGTGAGGAAGATTATAATAAATCTGCTACAGTGTGATTCAATACACAAGCAGATCTCAACATTTCTACGAATCCCAATGTTGGACTCCAGTGATTACCAGTAGTAAGAGAATTGAAATGCAGATCTAACCAAGCAACATTACACTGTCAGCATTGGCACCTAAAAATGTGTTTGTAATCTCACACGCCTTCAAGAACTGGCAAGTGCCAAAATGTTACAATCAGACCCTACCACTTTTTACCAGTAAGTCAAAAACTTCAAGTTACGTGCTCTTCCTGTGGACATACTATCAGAGTACACTTCAAAATGGGCAAAAAATGTTATACTAATCCCCTTTTGATACAAATAAAAGAACTGTAAATGCATTTACTAACATGGGGCAAGGCTACACTTCATTATAAATTTTTCAGTTACCATGAACTTGAAACCTATGACCTACCAACATGTAACATTCAAGAAGTGGTAATGCAGTCATCAGAGTGTGGGGACAAATAAATGGAGGCCTACAGTGAGACTATCAAAGGTACCTAGCATTCTTTCCTTACATATGGGTGCTGTGCATTACGTGCAGAGTTAGGATTTAGCAGTTAATGTAACAGATCTCTTAGGTTTGTTGTCATAAAAGTGTTCCAAAGTCTTGCACCCAGAAGAAAATGGAAAACACTAGATAAACATTGCATGTTATGACTACACCATCCAGCACTGTAATAGCTGAGTCATAATTTATAACTACAACACATATATCTTGATATGTATGTTGCCATAACCTCAATTAGAGAGACTGTATCACAGCCACACCACATAGATGTCATATTTTTTCAAAGGTTCACATTAACGCATTCTAACTACGTCCTTCTCTTGTGACTCAAGTGTAAATTTTTTGTAAGATAAATATATCGTTTCAGTTCTGTAGAATACACACGAATCTAATTAAAACTGTTACAGAATGAAAGGCAATACAAAATAAACTTAATTATTTGTTGTTTGATTCTTGAGAGAGATCTTAATTTTCCAAATATTTAAAGGAAAATAATGACTAAGCATTATATTTTTTTCTGAAAATTTTTAATTATCATTATGATGGATTTCTACTGCACTTACTAAAGTCACAAAAAGTTTTGCATAGGTAAATAAAAAATATGTAACTGAAATTTCAGTATTCTCCTTCCTTTAGTCTAACATGAACTAACTTTGATGAGGGCTCTGGCAATGGCCACTCTCTGCTTCTGTCCCCCAGATAACATGATGCCCCTCTCTCCAACCAGCGTGTCAAATCCATTAGGAAAACTCTTTGTGATGAAGTCGTATGCATTTGCCTCCTTTGCAACAGCTACCAGCTCATCCTCTGTTACTGCTGAGGGGTTCAGTGCTCCATACAAGATGTTTTCACGAATGGAGCATGAGAACAGAACCGGTTCCTGTGAAGGAAACACTATTTTTATACCATTATTATGGGGACACACCAAATGGACTGATAGGCAGTGATGCCAACTTTATGTGCCTTCACAGCCAGTGTGGGTCCAACTGCCCAATGGCTGCCTGTCTAGTGGGACAGTCCCACAGTCTAGGTCACACTAACCTGACTGACAAACCCAATTTGGCTTCGCAGCCAATGTAGGTCCAACTGGCCCACTGGGTGCCCATCTAGCAGGATAGTCCCACTGTCAGGGTCATACAGCCGCAACAGCAGTGCTGCCAATGTGCTCTTGCCTGAACCACTGGCACCAACTACAGCTGTGATGGATGCCTCAGGGATAACCAAGGATAAATTGTGAATTACACGGGTGTCAGGTCGCGATGGGTACGAAAATGACACATTCTGGAACACGATTTGACCTGTAGGCTCCTCTGTAGGTACCAGACCACCTGCGGCACATGAGAAATAAAGAAAGTCTTTAAGTCGATTTAGGCTGTGGATAGGGATTTTCACATTACAATCAAATAATACCTGACACAGGAATTGCCGGCACTCTGTCCACCAGTTCCCACAATCTGGTGCTTGCTCCCAAGCCACGATTCATTTCAGAATAGAAGCTGGACAATCCACCAATGGACACACCAATGTAGCCTGCATACAGTAAGAAGGCTGAAAGGTTCCCAACTGTAAGCGAACTGTCACTCACCATGATGCCCCCATAGTACAGCACCGACAGCACAATGACATTGCCACTGAATCCTGTCTACATAAGCACCAATATTAGTGGAAATATCCTTCACTTTATGACATTTAGGGTTCTGAGGGTGGTGATTATGTTTTTGTTTGTCTTCTGGGTTGTAATATTGTGAACCTGTAGGCAGATACCAACATTTCTTCAGGGCCAAAGTATATTATTTAAAAACATTGGTATTTACCTTCCAGTCCACACAGTATCAGAGACCAGAATACCAACATCACATCACTCTAGTGTATCAAGAACTAGAGTGTCAGAAACACACAAATCAGTAATAATGTGACCCATTTGCTAATATACCAAGATGCTATATTTTTAAACAGCTACAGGTAAGTTGTGTCATAACGTTGCATTAGCTGTTAACTCCATGATTATCTTCACTGTGCAGTTATAGTTTCTGAATATTTTCATTTTAACTTTTTCTTTTACTGTTAATGTTAATGATCTGGCATAGCTCAGTCAGTATAGCGACTGTCTACGGAATGCAAGACCGGGGTTCGATCCCCGACGGGGATTTTTCCTCTAGCCTCTGCGTCCAGACTGGTTCTGGATCCCACTCAGCCTCCTATCCAATGGGTACTGTGGCCCTTTCCTGGGGGTAAAGCGCGGCTGGGGCGTGATGCTGACCACTCACCCCCATCTAGTGGTAAGGCCAAGAATGAGTAGCAGCTATACCACCTCTCCCCCCAAGCACCTACATGGCATGTAGTGGAACAGCTTTACTTTTAATTTCTTTACTGTTAATGTCATGGAATTAAATGACAATTCTTACTGGTGTTACTTTGTTATGGCAGACTCGTCATGGTAATGAAACTTTCGATACTGTAAATGCTGAGGGGATTTCTTGACTAAGATACTGCTCCATGATATTCAGATGATTTGTTACACATTTGTCTAAAGCTGCAAATGACTTGGAACATATCTAGCAGTCCATTGTTCATACCATGCAATGGTTACATTTAATCATTCACTATTACAAATGAAACTGTTCCACAACCAGAATTAAAGCTAATTTATCAGCAACTCAGATAGGATTTCTAAGAACTGTTATTTATATGAAGATGAATATCAAAATAGCTGAACACAATCTACAGCATGGCAGTATCAGAGAAGATTAAGAGTGATTAGTCACCAAGCCAAAGAAGATTCCTCTTGCCAGCGACTCCTTGTAAGCCAGCTGCAGGACATCCTGTATCTTGCTGCTGTATGTGTCACACTCTCTGCTCTCGTGACTAAATGATTTAACTGTTCGAATGTTGGCAATCCTCTCCTCAGCCACTTGCATTGCTGCAGCAAGTGAGTCCTGAATAGGAAATGGAATGAGAGCCATATTAATGTTGAGTCAAATGCCAACATTTCAAAGATTAGCTCTGTCTCCATCTTTAGGGTAAGTTTGAGTAATGACAAAAAAATGTGATACTGTGATGACACATATCAGTTTGTCTTAGCAGTGCCCTCTCCTTACCGGCACATTATATGACCAGAGGGTGGAGTCAGTCCTCTCACTTTTGGTATGGTGCCATGTCACTTAACCTGGAATAAGATCTTCTGCCCCTTGTCCTACATTTGCTCACCATTGGTTTTCTTGGCCATTTAAGGACCTATCATGCACATGAAGTCTTCTTCACTGGCATGTGGACTGTCTCTATGTCAAAGACACTCAGTAGTCTGCTGATCTTGTATAATTTAGTGTGTTGGAATGGTTGAATTGCCAGTGAGATCAGTTTTTATTCTGTAGTTGTCTTCTTTTCATGATGTGTGGCTCTGCTGAAGGCTGTTCTATCATGTCCATTCTGTTTGAATGCCTCCCTTAAATTATTTTGGATTTCCATGCTGATACTTTCTGTCACATTTAGTTTTTGCCTGGTTTACAAGGGTTGTCAGAACTGCATGTTTTTGTGAAGGGTGGTGATGCAATTTTGCATGGATGTATAGATCTGTGTGGGTCAGTTTCTGGTACACTGCCCTACTGTTCTGTCTGTCCTAGTGATACGGAATGCGCGCTGGTTCAAGTCTCGGGGAAAGAAATTTATCATGAGATCTTCGACCGGTGTGTGGGACCAGTGCCAACTCAGCATCGTGAGGAAATTGGGGAGCTACAATGAGTAGCGTAATCCGGTCATGAAAACTAGCAATGGCTGGGGATTCGTCGTGCTGACCACACGTCACCCTATATCTGGTTGGATGATCGTTCACCTCTGCTTAGGTATGTGAACGTGAGGCCAGCAGCCAGCTAGTCGGCTTTGGCTCTCAGAGGGATGTTACACCACGGATTATTATTATTGTTTGTCATTCTTCAAATTTACCCTGAAGATGGAGACAAAGTCTCTAAAATGCTGGCATTTCACTCAACATTAACAAAGCTGATTGTCTGAGAAAAGAAGAAAAATTTTACAATATTTATGTGCTATGTAAGTATTAAGTCTTACAATGAAAAAGAGGCTTTCACAAGGGATATTTTCTTTCAAGCTGATGAAACCTAGTTGTGGATTGTACCTGGACTGACTTGGAAATCTTCCGCACAAACCTCCCATAAACTACGGCCATTCCTGCAAGAGGTGGAACAACTGAAAGGCCGACCAAAGCCAGCTGTGGTGACATGTAAAACTGCAACAGAAGAGATGTACAAATATGTGTTAGAAACTGCAAGAGATGATAATTTTCCTCAGGCTACAACAGAACGCCTTCCTCTTTCGTTTCTAACTAACTCCTGCAGATCACAGAATTACTGACTTCAGAAATAGATTTAAAATGTGGAGGCCTGAAACTGCTAAAGAGGTGCATAGCCAGAATGTCATGCAAAAGAAAGGGATTTTGCTCATGAGACTAAAACTGAGCAAACAGTGAAAGGTCAGAAGTCTGTACGCAACAAGTTAGTACCTGGCCCATGCCATATCAGAACTGCAGTTAATGTAATATTTATATTAATTAAAATATAAATGCTTCAAACTGCTTGGTTAATAAGTCCATGGTACAGGACAGTGAAAATTCCCTAGTTATGAAACCTGCATGTTTTGTCACCATTTTCTGAGCCAGTTCAATACTCACTCAGTTCACATCCTTACAACCTATTTCCCCAAGAGCCATTTTAATACTGTCTTCCCATCTGCGTCATAATTTCCTTGGTTGGTTTTTTCAAAAAAGCTTAGAATCCATATGTTACACACAATGAAATTACATTCGTGCAGCTCTCCATAGTGCGATTCCTCATCAAAAAATAAGTAAGAAATGCTGTGTAACATTTGTCCTGAGATGCTTAGTTTTTCAGATACACATCACAGTCAAATGGGGTAATGGAGATACATATAGTGCATTCTTAGGCATACTGAAAACACAGTGTCCAAATGATCATGGAATACACACACAACGAATACTGTGACATGCTCATAATACTTGGTGCCTGTAATAGTTGAGCTGGTATGGCTGCATGGGAATATGCACTATATCATCCTGGTCGTGATCCAGACACTAATGCGTTTTAATGACTGGAGGAGCATCTCCGTGAAACAAAATGTGTTCCACCTATGGCACAATGAACGTGCCATGATGGGATAATCCTTATGCTATACACAAGCGTGGGTGTCAAGTCTGCTTCAGTGTCAGCATTTAGGATGGTATCATCAGGGGCGCTGTGGTTCCCTATCTGCTACCTGACAGCCTGACTGCTTAATGATATCATGATTTTCTGGAAACTGTTTTACTGGGGCTGCTTGAAGATGTGTCTCTAGCTGTGAAGCAGAGGTTGTGGCTTCAGCACAACAGAGGTGCAGCGGACTATGGGGAAGATGTCCAGCAGTGGTTGAACGTGACATCTCCAGGGAGGTGGGTTGGATGTGAAAGGCCAATTGCATGGCTTGCTCAGTCGCCAGATCTAACTCTGATGGATTTTTTCCTGTAGGGGCACCTGAAAGAGCATGTTTACGTAGTCCCTTCCAGGATTATCGAAGATCTTGTAACAAGACCTTAGCCAGCTGTGACAATGTTCAATGCCAACATGTTAAGGCATGTTCGAGAGAATGCCATTCGGATGATGACTGCTTCAGACGCCTACTGTAACTATGAGGCACCCATAGTTTGATCATTTGATTGCTTGCACAATTTGACGGTGACATTTATCATAAAAAACTAAATGTCACTGGACACGTCATATATTTTCTACTTGTTTTTAACAAGAAATCATGCACTAAAGAGAGCTTGTGTGAATTTCTTTTTATCCTATATGTAATTCTTCTTTCCTCAACAATTTCTACAAACCCCATGTCATTGTGTTTATGAACAGTTCAAATTGCAC